GTTTAGGGTTTAGGGTTTAGGGTTCAGGGTTTGGGGTTTAGGGTTTAGGGTTTCGGGTTTAGGGTTTAGGGTGGCATCTATGAAGTGCGTGAACTAAAACCCAGAAGCTCTCAACGTTTTTCGCACTTGGGACCTGCCTGAAGGACGCCTACGGTGTCCTTGCCTGCAACATCAGGCAGCAGGCTGAGGCAGTGGTGGAGGAGCTGCCACATGCCGCACCCACCTAGACATCCATTCTGTGTGAGTATAAAGTAACATCAAGCACTGATCTGAACTGGTGCCTGTTTGTGCGAACGACGGCGTCGCTGGTGCATCTTGCTATCCGCGTCGCCTTCTGCTGCTGAAATGCGGGAGATTGGAGATTGAGATGCTTGGCGTTCAGCAAGCTGGGCTGGGGGATTGCTTCCAGGAACTCGTGCACAAGATGGAGAGCTGGAGACACTCGGCCTGCACCGAGTTTTGCAAGGCCGGCAGCTTGCAATGCCACGTCAACTGAACAAGGCATGGAGCTACAAAGACACTGCGCGGAAGATTGGAACCAGTTTGCGGGAATTCTCATACAATGCTTGCCGGGGCCTGACGAACTGCATGCGCACCATGCGAGGCCATGAATCTTGCTGCAATAGGGCTTTGGTCATTGTGCAGGTCTGGCGAAAGGAAGAAAGATGCTTCACAGATGCAGTTTCAGGCATCTTGCTGGATTTTTGCATTTACAAAGTACGCCTTGGCCGTGTTTGGTACGGCGGCGGACCCAAAAAGGGGACCCGAATTTAGAGAACTGCCCTTTCGTCTCTTGTACACCAGCTTCTGACCGACAGATGTCCACAGGTGGGGCTTTCACATTTCCCGAGGATGCATGTGGTTTTTGTGAACTTGAAAGCGACCCTGCTTGCGTGTTCGACTTCCACAAAGCCTTTGAGGATACTCTGGAAAGATGTCTGTCTGCTTGTTGTGCAGAGATCGCCGTCCACTTGAGTGACCCCCTAAGTCGCACGTTAGGTGTCAGATGTGCAGCTGGAAGCTGGCCTGCAGTCTTCTCAAACTTCAAAGCTTTCTCGAAAGTCGTTCGGATGCCAGTGTCCCTGCAGCAGCGCAAAGTGGAAGTCGTTGCTGTTACTACGATTACGACGACGACTAACTACTACTGCTACTACTACTACTGCTACTACTACTACTACTCCTCCTCCTACTACTACTACTACTACTACTACTACTACTACTAGTACTACTCTTGATATTGATAATGAGACTTGGAATGACAATAATAATGATAGCATTAATCAACCATACTAGTGAGCGTCATAGCAAAGATAATGGATATATTTGCATGGGTAATGACAGTCATGAATACTATAGTGGCGCAAGCAACCCAAAATAGTAACGATAACAGAAGTAGTGAGAATAGGAAGCATGGTAGCAGTGAATTTAGCGTTTGTCTTTCAAGAAGATTATGATTGCATGTAGTAGTAATTGAAATAGTCATAGAAATAGCAAAATGGCAACAAGAGCAATAGCAATAGTAGTCTACTGCTACTGCTACTGCTACTGCTACTGCTACTGCTACTGCTACTACGGTACTACTACTGCTACTAGTACTACTACTACTACTACTACTACTACTACTACTACTACTACTACTACTACTACTACTACCACTACCACTACCACTACCACTACCACTACCACAACCACTACCACTACTACTACTGCTACTGCTACTACTACTACGACTACTACGACTACGGCGACTACGGCGACTACGGCGGCTACGACTACGACGACGACGGCGACGACGACGACGACGATGACTACTACTACTACTACCACGACGACTACTACTACTACTACTACTACTACTACTACTACTACTACTACTACTACTACTACTACTACTACTACTGTGACTGTAATATCCTTGTTCTCCTTACGATTGCGGTTTTTTCATTGTGATTGAGAAAGAGGTCAGGGCCTACAAGCACCATGGGCTCCGACCCAGTCACTCGTCATGCCATTCGCACATGACAGCCAAGAGAAAGCGACAGAAAACAGCTTCAGACTCCGCCACCGGCGCTACAAAAACGGTGCCTCCCGTGATTCCCCCCCTCCTTGAGAATCAAATTCAGGGGGGACGCAACGTCTGTAAATTTTATTCTCGTTGTTTGTTTTTGTATTTTCCCTGTCTCGTACTCCCAATCAATGACTTGTGCTATTGTCCCCGGGGCAATTGCACAACTTGTCCAGCTGTCCAGGGGTGTTGAATGATGCTGAATGCTTGAGCTGACAGGGCAAAGCAGCCGGCAGGAAAGTTAAAAACATTGTCCCCCCTCCTGGTGCCACTAAAAGGGGTGGGGATCTCCCATGGAAATCTTTCGCGCAGAACGCACCAGGCCTTTTGGCCTCGACAGCCCTTAGCCCCAACCCGAAACCTTACACCCTGAACCCCAATGCAACCCTGAACCCTTTCCATGCTAGGTCTGATGACTCACTTCGAGAGCTCGCAGGAAGGACGCCGGAGCACGTCAACATGTGGGGGATTCTCCTCTCTTGCTGGGTGCCGTATCCAAAAAGGCCACGTGTTCTCATAGGATCTCCAAAAGGCTTCATGACTTCGAGAACCCCTCTTGCCACACGTTAATACTGTACCTCACATCGTCTGTGCAGGAGGCGATTGACATGTTTTAACGTGATATAAATATGTGAAAAATGTGCTTAACCATATGAGAGTAGACAGAATCACATAGCAACATATATATATATATATATATCATGAACAACAAGAACAAAAAATCAGAATTATTATATTATTATGAATTATTGAAATTTTTATCACTATTATTATTGTTATTATTATTGTATTATTATTACTATTATTATTCTTATTATTATTGTATTATTATTACTATTATTGTTAATATTATTGTTATTATGATTATGACTATTATGACTATTATTATTATTATTATTATTATTATTATATATGTATAAATATATGTTGCGGAGGAGTTCCGAGGTCCCAAGACGGATGCTCATCTGACCCCGAACCGGGGGAGCTTTTGCGAGGCGATGCCCTGAAGGGCATACACACAACCCCCTAGTTTCACGGACTATGGCAGGCCCCGATCTTATCATGTTTAGAACTGTGAGTCAGGGCCTGTGAATGCAGCTGATGGATGTATGTAGACGCTTGCCGATATGATATAGCTGCCCTGAACCCTAAACCCTCAATCCTAGAAACCTGAACCCTGAGAATCTGCAAATTCACAACTCTGCTTCGCACGCTTGCAACTGTCATGGGCTGAGTCTGTGGACTTCAGCCCGGTCAGTTGGAGCAGTTCGCCGTCAATTCTGCTTTTGGATCGCTCAGGTGCGCGTATGGCTGTGCTCTGTCTGTGGTTCTTACAAAGGTCTCATCATATGTTCTTACGACTGGTGATGCATCTGGGGGAGGAGGAGCAGAATGTCTGCTTGGGTCTGCGTTTCACACCCGGCAACGCTGCCGTGGCATCCAAAGCAAGTACCACCAAGCACCCACACCATTTCCCAAGGCCGCAGAGGACACCGGCCAGTGACAGAAAAAAATGATAGTGGATGTCGACGAAGTGACATTGCCGGGAGAAAGGGTTTTTGCATCTCGACCTGACAAGAAGGCGAGGGAAGCAGCCTCTGAGAATCTCTGGAGCTGGGAAAGTGGGGGATCTCTTCGAACATGGTGGCACCCTACACCTAGTAGTAGAGCAGGTAACCTATAACCTTTTTGGGGTAATATAATCCCCTTAGAATCCCAAAGGTTAACCTTTATTTCCCCCAGGTTACTGGACAACTAAGTACATGTACGCCATGTTACACTGCAGGGCACACTCGGCGTTCCTTGCGCGCTTTCTTCACGCGGCGCATGCCCCTGTATCCCTTGTAAGATAGGGGCCTGAATCATTTGAATAGGGTTTTGGGGGTTACGATAAATTCCATAAAGGGGCCACAAGGGAGTACTATGAGTCTTTATTCCGACCCCTATAGCAGGCTGCTAGCGTGCTCCCACTTCACGCTCCTCTCTCTTGCTGAGTTTGCAGGAGACCTCTGTCCTCAGAGGCTTCGTAAGACTGGCTAACAGCGGCTCAAAGCCCAATTGGCCACAAACAGGGTTGGTTTACGCAGCTTCACCAGGTGGCATGTACAGCTGCATTAGGGTTTAGGGTTTAGGGTTTAGGCCCTGAAGCCTTTAGGGTTTAGGGTTTAGGGCAAGCAACTTGATGAGGCAAGAAATTCTATGACAGCTTGTGGGGGGTGTCATGAGACTAAAGATGTGTGTTGCATCGATGCCACCAGCCGTCGAGCTATCAGAGTGTAGTCTTGACAGCCAAGTGTGTAAGCCATTGGTCGCAACATGACGCGTGCCCAACGCACCAATTGAAGTTGGCGCCCATGATGGCACACCATTGACAGGAAAACATGCGAGAGACGTTAGACATGCTGTGCGCGGTGTGCTTCAATTCAGGAATGCGATAGCTTAGGTTTCTCGAGCTGAAGCAGGAAACTCGGGATCCCAAGCGCGCCCTAAGCCCAAAACTGAGGTCGAGATATGTCGAGGGGCAGTAGGCAAGTGGGAGCCAGATAGGGACAATCAGGGTTTAGAGTGTAGGGTTGAGGGTCTGAGTCTTCGATGAGTTTTAGAGAGACTTCAGGGGAAGCCATAGGGGTTGCAAGGTAGGAGTGAGCTTTGATGCGAATGTATTGCTTGCCCATCTCTAGTACAGAAGGTTTTTGCTGTCTTGGACACCAGGCGGCCACTCCAGCTGCATGCATTCCACTACCTCGCTTGGATGAACAGAGAAACGAACATATAACAAAACAAATATATATATATATATATATATATGTATATATTTTTCTTTATATATATATGCTCTCTCCTTAAAATAATAAATTAATAAGCATGTACTGATATATATATATATATGTATATATAGATATTCCATCTATATGCCATATACATCTGAGCCAAGGCGGCATCCCTCGGCGCCAGACTCAGGACATGCACGAATTCGACGACTCTCGGAATCTTTCTGCATCTAATGCTAGGGTAGGGTTTAGGGTTTAGGGTTTAGGGTTTAGGGTTTAGGGTTTCGGGTTTAGGGTTTAGGGTTTAGGGTTTAGGGTTTCTATATCGAATGCTACGACCCTGTCACTCGTGGCCGAGGCCTGCGGAGGCAACAAGTACCTCACTTTCTGGAGTGCTCCCAGTTGCTACAGGCGGTTTGAGGGGAAAGGGTTCATACTTAGGGTTTAGGGTTTAGGGTTTAGGTTTTAGGGGTTTATTTAGGGTTTAGGGTTCAGGGTTTAGGGTAAAGGGTCCAGGGATCAGGGTCAAGGGTTCCGGGTTCCGGGTTTAGGACAACTGCATTTGCGTCTTGGCAAGGAGTCATTGTTTTGCTTGCTATGCAGTACCGGCCTCGCGTGTAACAAGCCTTCGGGTGCTTTTTGTACCTCTAACCCTAAACCTTAAATATACCCTATATAGCCCCCCCCCCCGCAACCAGCCCCTCCTGGGTCCCCGCCGCAACGTATGCAGAGATGAACAAAGGGTTTGCCGGGAGGGGGGCATCACGACATAAAAGGTTTTTGGGTTCAGGGTTTGGGGTTTACGGGTTCCTATTTTGAGCTGCAGCCATCTACGTATTAGGCGTTCATGGGTCACGCGGGCCCCAAGCTAGTTGGTGACAGGCGCATCCGGCGCCTGGCTGTTTCGTGTGTGTTTCGCACGAAATCCTTCCACATTGTCTGAACTCGCCTGGATCTCCTCTTCTGCTCTGTTTGGGGGGGATTTGGGGGGGGGGGGGGGGGGGTGGTTACGTCTTGTGCCATGGCTGGGTCTGCCTACAGGTCACAGGCCTTCAGTTCGCACAGTTAACGAGAGGAGATGGCCAACCCCAAAAGTAAGCAGTTTCCTTCGACGAACGCCTGACATTTAAAAACAGACTAGTTTCGGCTCTTGAAAAAACTCCGAACTTTGTGAAAATCGTGTGGAAACCCGAGTAACAATCTCATTCACCCCCCTTAGAAGTATCCAGGCGCCTCACGCGCACGCGCTCGCGCGCGACCTAGTGATTTAGGTCCACGGAGAGTGACAAGGGCTTTACAGCCGGGTGCCATCATGCGACGCCGGACATAACTTGGCAGCCAGTTTGTCATGTCAGGCCCGAGATGCTGAGATTCGGCACCTGAGGCGCGTCCGTGCATCAGAGTCTTCGCCAAGCGAGTTGGGGTCGGTAAAGCTGCAGCACCAACACCACTACCATCCCCCCCCACACACACACACAGGCAGCACGCACGAATCATCGTTCGAGCAGGGGTGCTTTGCGCAACAGACGCACAGGTAGCATGGACGCAACGCATGCTCGAGTAGCGCAGACATGCACGCACAGCATCGTCGTCCAGGCTTGGGCGCCACATGAAGCGGACGCGCGGGTAGCACGGACCACGGAAAAATTGCAGGAGCGATGTTTCGGCACATGGCTCCTTGTCATCAACAACGATGCATCCGCCTCTTAAAATCGCAGCGCGCCGGATGATGCAACAACACAATCATCTCAAGCACCCAAAAACCACCTCACAGCCACCCCACGACCACCCCACAACGACCCCACAACGACCCCACAACCACGAGACAGCAGCCTCTGTTTGTTGTTTCTTGCTATTTTCATTACGCGTGAATTCTGTCAGCTCGGTTTCGTGAGAGTGCGGATTTTTGTACAAGGCTGCAAGATGTAAAGTCTTAGCTCTCAAAATCATGATCTGGAATCATGACGTCTCAATTTAGGGAAGGGGTTGTGCTTCCACTTCGGGGCTCGGATAGAGCAGGGCCGCCCCCGTGCTCCCTAACCCTGAAGCCCAAGGCTATACCCGGGTTTTAGGGTTTAGGGTTTAGGGTTTAGGGTTAGGGTGTCAAGCGCTTTGTGTGGAAGGTGTCGCTTGGAGGAGTTGCACCAGGAGCACCTCAGCGGCACGGGCGAGCACCTTGCGGAGGAGGGTTCGGCTAAGAGACCTGCTTGGAGGTTCATGGTACTTATTAACCAAATATAACTGTACTCATAACTGCACTTATAACCATACTAGGGCGCTTAGAGGGCTTCTAAGTGGGTTATAAGTGCAGTTATACTTGGTTAATAAGTACCCTGAACCTCCAAGTGTTCCCCCATATACCAGCAGTCCTTCATAGGGATGATAATCGGGGGTACTATGATCCCTATCAAGCCCAGTGAACGTACTAAAAGCCTTAATTTGTATATTAAATTACAAGGTAACGAAGTGGACGCGTGAATTTAATATAAAATTATGGGCTTTTCTCCCTTTCACCCTTCACTCGCGACTCCACGAAAAACCCTATTAAAATATATTAAATTATAAGGCACGCATGAATTTAATATGTTTTAATGGGCGTTTTTCCCCCAGAGTCGTTCATGAAGGTTTCAATCTTTAGAAATCCAATATTAAATTACGGGCAAGTTCACGCGCGCCGTAATGATTTTAATATTGGCTTTATAAAGAGTGAAAGGGGCCCATATTAAATATACTAAAAGGCGCGCTATTCATTGCCCTTCAAGGACTGTTAGTATAAGGGGGAACATTCCCAAGTGTAGGGACCTGTGGCCGCCAATGATGGCAGATCCATGTCTGAGCAGTTCAATGAGATCTAGGGGGGATTGAGAATATTTTTGAAAAAATCTATGGGTCTTAATCCCTATCTATCCCTAAAAAACCATAGACATGTAATCTTCTAGGGGGCCCCAAATACCCCCTGGAGATTGGCAGGTCTTCCGATCTCAGCAGAGATCGAGGCGCCAGCCTTGGGGAACATGGCGGCCCACTTAAAAATGCTGCTAACATCGACTCCTGATATGGTCGTGTCTCTAAACTACGGTCCTTTTCGGGGTCCTTATTGTAAACCCTAAACCCTAAACCCTAAACCCTAAACCCTAAACCCTAAACCCTAAACCCTAAACCCTAAACGCCCCTCTTATGTAGGGCACCCAAAAAGGGGGCCATAATTGTGAGAACTGACCACATATCCTGACTGTAGGTCTCGATTGGAAGATCTTGCAGACAAGCAGCTGCAGCAGCTCCGGGTTGCGGAGGCGTGGCATAAATCAGGGTTTAGGGTTTAGGGTTTAGGGTTTAGGGTTTAGGCTTCGGCATTCGGTAGTCGTCACATGGAGTGCCTATCCCAGGGAATGGAGTGATTGTGTGCAGATGTTTTCGGGCCTCAGCTGAAGAGCAGCGGGGGAGGCAATGCTGGCAGTCATCAAGTCCGGTTTCAAAAAGGGTTTAGGGTTTAGGGTTTAGGGTTTAGGGTTTAGGGTTTAGGCAGGAGCTCGGGTGCACAGCAACTTGCGGCACACGCTTCGGATGCGAGAATACCATCAAGGAGGAAGCTGGGGTAGCGTCACAGGGCACAGGCAGCACGCACACCGCAGCACTCGAGCGATGCCTGCATTCCACAGTGTCGTGAAGTTAGTCCAGGTCTCGTCACTCAAGTTTCTCGTGAATGTTGCGGTGCCATGGCCGATGATCCCTTGTTGCCGTTGAGGGACGTTTGGTCTCCGAAGCAACGTGCAAGTGCCCCGTTGATTCACACGGAAGCCGAGGGCAACTTCGACAGGCTCATGATCAGGACGCTGGTTGCCGAAGCGTGGCAACAGATTGGTGGGACGGAGATGTCCACAGACACGCCGGACGCGCGGTCCAGCGCTGAGTCGCATCCGCCCACGCCAACCACGAGTTTTTCAACATCCACCCCATCCCCAGAAGTCATGGATCTGACAGCAAAGATGCGACTGCCGGCCGAGAATTTTCAGATATCGGTGCCCCAGGCACCGACTGCGACTCCTGCCGGCCTCGCATCAAGCTCTCCGCTGGCAGATCTTGCGCAGCAGTTTGTCGAGTCCATGGGCAAAAGTCCTCTAAGTCCTCTACCACTCCAAGTGTTCTCCTCAGCCACGTTCAGCACGGCTGAATGGAGGGTACCCATGGCCAGGTTGCACAGGGAACGGAAGTTCGTCTCGCCCACAATACCAGTGAGATCACGTGCCGGTGCAGATGACCACAAGTTTGTGATCATCCTCCGGCCAACTGATCCCAAGGGTTTTCTGCAGTCCAACTTCAAAGGTCACGTGGAGCTGAAGTGTCTCGTGGTAGCCCAGTGGTACCCTTTACCCTTTTTTTTGTTATGGGTTCCCTTAGAAAAATACAAGAGCCAACCTCAACAAAAGGTGCCCTTATCATAATATGGTTACTTGGGCTACCAAGGTCTAGAGTGTCAGCAAGTACAGGATCCACATGCTGGCCTTTGGATTTCCTTTCGCATCTCCATGAGAACGATAGCCCGGAGCAGCTTACTTCGCCTTCAGTTGAACTTTAAACTTTTCGGGTTTCCTTGTTTAGAAGGGATATTAAAGGTTAGCCGCTTTTCCCCTTGGTTATTGGAGAAGTAAGGCAGACAGCACGACTTTGCCAATGACACTTCCGTGGCGAAACTGCGCGACCCTCGCACCGACAAGGAGCAAGTGTGGAACTTCAACGCGAGCAAGGTATCCTGGACGCTGAACATATAGTAAATGTTGCTTCTGCGACTGCTACTGTTGCTACTGAGGACAGCCACACTCTGCTAAGCTGGATAATTTCGCGTGTGATGTTTCCCAAAGAGGCCAGTGCCACGTACGGAAGACTTCTGGAATCACATTGAGGATCCCAATCGTATGTGTCTTCTAAAACTAGAGGACAGTGCATAGTCGTGCACAGGATGGATTTGTCCGGATACTGCTGGAGCTTTCCACATCACCAGAACGACCTTAGTCGAGCCTTGTGACTTGGCTACTTGCTACTTGGAGGTTCATGGGCACTCGTAACCAATTATAAGTCTACTCATAAACGACTTAGAGGACTTAGGGGACTTAGTTAGGGGGCTTATAAGTACAGTTATTGTTGGAGAACTAGCCTGAATCTCCAAGTACAGTTACATGCAGCGCCATGATCTGATAGGTTTAAAGAACAGGTTGCTAGGGTAGGAGCCGTCTGAGACCCATACCACCCGGATCGCCTTAACACTGGGTTTTCTTGCGATCAGTGACATAGGTTCAGGGTTCAGGGTTTAGGGGTTAAAAGGGTTTAGGGTTTAGGGTTAGGGTTTTGGGTTTAGGGTTTAGGGTTTAGAGTTTTAAGGGATACTGCCGCAACTTGAGCACGTTCAAGCCGAATGATGTCATTGGTATTTTCGGACTTTAAGGGCTTTTGCGTCCAACGGCTCCATTCCCAGCAGAAACCTTCACACGCATTGCTTTTTTGCAGCGTAGTGTATCTCCCATTGACTTCTTTTGTACAGCAACACCACGTGATGCTCAAGAGCTATTGCGTGATGAGCATGGTATCCACACATGCCCGGACGAAGGAAACATGCCAGTGCTTGAATTTAGGGTTTAGGGTTTAGGGTTTAGGGTTTAGGGTTTAGGGTTTAGGGTTTATGGTTAAACCCTGCTTTACGTCAATCATGTCCAAGATTCTTCAGCGATGCAGCACTCGGTGCATGTGCTGCGCTGCTACCTACTGACGCCCTCAAGGCCCAATACCTGGCCAATTTAGGATCAACCCCTTCAATTGCATGCGATTATGATTTAAGGGGATATTCCCTAAGTAGGACATCATGATATCAGGTTATTCCTTGCTCAAGGGGTATGTGGGCTCTCTGGGCAGATGTTGTCCTTCGGAAAGGAAGCGGCTGGAGTGGCGGAGCAGCGCCGTATTGCAGCGGGGGCCTTTCGCGTTTAGGGTTGAAAACGGTCCCGGGTTCAAGAAAAAGGACAGACAAGCTGGTTCTTAGTAGGGAATGAGGGGAATTAGGACCCTATTTATGCCTTTTATAAGGGTTTATGTAGGGTACCTCATTCCCTCACTCCCTACGAAGAACCAGCCAGAAGAAGGGTTTGGCCTCCGATCATCGCTGTGAGTTGCGCGTGGCAAGGGGCATCCTTTTGTTTACTTACTTGTACGTGCACCCCTTGAATTACTGAACATGCCTCTAAATTAGGCACAATGAGGATCCGATGTGCTTGCTGCTGCTTGCTGCAACTGAAGGCTGTTGAAGTCCGAGATCAGGCCTGGATTCGCACCATTCAGAACTGCTGGCAGGGTGTTTCCCAAAACAGGTGTACCCCGAATATATAGCCCCCCCCCCCCCCCCCACCCCCAAAAAAAGAGTGTATTATATATATATATATGTATGTACTATGACCCATACTATCACCCATACTAGGGACCCGTACTGTAGGAAGTTCAAAAAAATGGCACCCCTGCGTCGGCACACCCCCGCGAGGAATCACAGCAGGCTACGTCAGAGATTCGATCGAATTGTGGCTCATCCCCTAAAAAAAAGCCTAAACCCCACCAAAAAAACCCTAAACCCCTTTAAACAAATCAAAAAAACCTAAACCCTGTTGGCTGTCTTGACATCACTGTGCGTGCCAACTGCAGCGCAGCCAGCCAGATCAAACAGAGCTGCGGCTGAGCTGCGGCTCCCAGCTTGGGAACTTTTGAGAAACTTTAGCCTGGCGTGAGAGTTGGTCGAGAAGCTGGCAGCGTGCTGTTTTCCATCCAGGCGCATCTAGGGGTTTAGGGTTAAGGGTTGAGGGAGCAGTCGTTCACGGCACGTGTTTTGTAGGATAGTAGGCGCGTTTTGCACTTGTTGAGATTTCTTGGGTAAGGAGCTTGCCTGCTTGGAAGCTAAAGAACTTGAGCTGAGAAATCTGCGCACTCGGAAGCCCCAGTCGTAAGCTTGCTGTTGAACGTTTCCTTCCGTGCGTAGTGCACATCCAACGCAGAATGTCAATCCGGCCAGAAGCAGCCATGGGTTTTGGGTTTGGGGTTTGGGGTTTGGGGTTTGGGGCTGTTCAGAATGTTCGAAGTGACGAAAGGCTGCCAGGGCAATTGCAAGCTCAAGCTCGGCCTGCCCACCGTCCATGTCTGCAACACAGCCGAACATTTTTGAGTTGTCTTTTGGGGAGCATCCTTTGCCTGGGCTTTAGGGTTTTTGGGTTGGGATGTTCCTCCTTATACGAACATTCCTTACGAGGGATTCTAGTAACCCCGATTATCATCCCTAGTAAGGACTGTTAGTATAGGGTGAATATCCCAAGTTTAGGGTTCACTGTAAGGTTTATGTTATCCGGTTCAGAGACCTTGACGGGTGCTTCCCGCGCTCAGGAAGCGCATTTGGCTCCGTTGCAGCTGTGCTTCGGCTTCCTGAAGTTAGGAGCCAGGGAGTCTTCAGTTGTGCAGCATGACTTCAATGTTCTCTAAATTGTTTGGGTACCCTGCATACAAGGGGCGGCCTTATAATGGTAAACCCAAAAAAGACCATAACTTGGGGAAGTTGCCGTGTGAGGGCAATCTAATTACGTAGCAAATCTATATAGAGAGTCCGAGAGAGATTGCGCTTGGTGATTTGCCCACCCCCCCCCCCCCCCCCACTCCCCCCTCCTCCCCCCCTACCGCCCCCCCGCTTGCCCCCCCCCCCCCCAACACACACGGCAGGACACAGACTTCGCTTGAGGACTCTGGCATCTGGCATCTGCAGGGAAGTCGAGGCTGTCAACTTACATCTGCCCAAAAGGACATGTATAGTCAGAATAGGGATAACGGGCAACAAGCATCATCGATCCAATGGCCCAATGAAGAAGGCACAAGAAGCTGTCAATAGGCCATACAGCGCGAAGTTTCCCAAAGCATCTCAGATGGACAGCCGAGGTAAGAATGCCGACAAGAGTTTCCGGGTTTAGGGCTTACAATAGCTAAAGGTTTCGGGTTTTCGTCATTCGTCAGACTACCAAAATTTGGGAGGGGGGGGTTCAAGGATTGGGTTGTAGGATTCTGGAGAGAAGGCATGTTGTGTTGCGGGCGCAAAGTTCCGGGGCACAAGGGAGCAGTGTGAGGCAGCGCGCAGTGTTGGACGCTACCGGTTTTCCTTTTTGCGCTTGAGAAGGCATCTGCAGGCTCCCAGACTCATAAGGCATTTCGGAGTTGTTGCCTCGAACCGGCGCCAAGTCTATGGGAAAGCCGTCGTTCGCAGCCATGGGGGACGCCTTGGTCGAAGCTTCTTGCATTTTCGCCATCTCGGTGATTGGTCTTGGCTTCCAGATTCTACGTCTGGCCCTTCGTTTGCTGTATCGTTTGCTGTACGGCGTGTTTGAGGTTGCTGTGGTCCTTTTCGGGATGATTGCATCCTGGATAGACATGGGCCGCGCTGTTGCCAAGAAGGAGCGTTTCCTTTGCCTTCAGGACCACCTAGCATGCGATGGTCTGGGACCCTCCTTCTGGTCCTATCGCATTCTGAAGGAGGGGGAAGAGATCAGCACTACCCAAGAGGTCCGGCGATCAGTGGGCAGTCAGCTCTGGCGATCAATGGGCTGGGAGGCCTGGCCTCAAAACTGGCCTGATGCAGTTACGCTGGCAGATGGCAGCTGGGTAGCTTTCAGGTCACCGTGGGACGGGCGACCGCCAGTTGCTTTGCTCCATACCGCCAGCACTTTAATGGCATTCCTCGGAGAAACGGGGCCAGCGCCTAGAGAAGGAATCCGGCGCATTGTTTGCAAAACGCACCTCGATTGTCACCAGTCATGTGCCGTGGACAGTCCGGTTCTTCGGAAGCTGTGCCGTGGTGACATCATCTGTGCGATGCGTGGAGCTACTTTGCAGGCAGCCCGCAAACAGTATCAAATAACCAGGATTCAGCTCAAAGATGGCTCATGGATCACTTGTCGAGCGGCTGACGTAGACTGCGTCGTGAGAGCATCCCTAATTGAAGAAGCTGATGACCCACACAAGCGAGCACTCCTTGTGCATCGTCTCTGCCTCAAAAAGGAAATCCAATCGTTGACAAGGGATTACAAAGGCCTTGTGGACTTCTATGGTCTCGGTGCAGTGGAGCTCTATGCCCTGTACAAAGGGAAGCAGCTGAAACAAGTGGAGGAGCAACTTGCTGGTGCTCCTCCGGGCCCTTACCAGATTCCGGAGATTGAGAGGCTCGAGGACCTTGGCAGCTTGCTTGGTGAAGCATGTCGCAAGTTCATGCTGCGGTGCACGCGTTGTAGCACGGTTGAAGAGCTGCCTGCCTTCCTGACCGAGATATCTCGCGCGCCACGTGATGCCTTTGCCTCGAATCTGATGCAACGGGAGCACGTGGCGCAGCTCGTCGAGGCTCTAAGTGGTTGTGGAACGGCTGGAGAGTTTTCTGGCTTCCTGAGCCAGAAGTGTGAGGAGCTATTGCGGAACCTACTGGGCGCGACGAGAATTCCACGCTGCTTTCTGCCAAGCACTATGCTGTGGGTCTCGAATTCCGTGGCCCGCACGGTGACCGATGTCAAGCAGGGCGATATGGTGCAGAACGTCTTTGGCAGAGACGTGGTGGTGTCTTCGTGTCACAGAACCGCGCTGCCCGCCAGAACGTGTTTTGACAGCTTTGCGCGTTTACCGTGACGTATGACGAAAGGTTTGAGGGACTCATTGCTCGAAGTTCGTTACCCTCGCTAAGGGTTGGTAGCAGTTCGGTTCGTACCGAACGAGCCGGCGTGCGCCAGGCTTTTCGAAGTGGGGCCATGGCTGCTGGACTTTGACACCGCCTGGGCCACCCTCCATGGCCGAGGTGCCGGGGGCACCCGGCAGAAATGCAAGAGGTGGTTGAGCTCCGAACCAGGGAAGCCAGCCTTAAGGTGAGCAGCAGCCACAGAGTTGTCGTTCCATCAAGTTCGGGCCACCCAGAAGAAGTCGTGCCCGCAGAGACCCTCAAGGAAGGGGACATGGTCTTCTGCGGTGTCAGACCCACCCCGTTGGTGAACGTCCTGAAGCACAGACAATCAACCTCCTTGGTCGAGATCGCTTTTGAGCCCGACGATTATGTGCCGAGCTTCATGCGGCCAAAATGGTGCATTTTGACCAAGGGCCAGGGGCACGCGCACTACGACAGCGACGATGGCTTCGAGCGGTAGATGAGACCGAGCCAGAAGTTCCTCTTTCCCGGCCGGTTCGATTTTGATGATGCACATGTACAGTTTTGGCTGAAGAGCAGACGAGTGCCATTCTGATCATATGCTCGCACGTCGCAGGGGGCCTGCCTCTCATCTCGTGTGAGCTTAAGTCTTAGGACTTGAATTGCAGGTGTATATCAGGCTCACAATGCAGAATGGCTTAGTTTGCACATGTAGGCTATTCCTACCGGTCCGCGTCTTGGCAAATGCCCGGCGATGGCACAACAGGTGGACGGCCGCATTTGCAGCATCAGCATCATGTCTTATTCCGGGATGAGGGCGACTCGAATATGTAATACTTATTTATATAATCTTTGAAAGACATAGATATATTCAATGACTGAGGGACTGGGTAGGTCACCCTAAACCTTTTTGGTTCTATAGAATCCTATGATAAATAAAAGGTTCACCTTTTTTAGGCTGGGGCATTCAGCCTATCGAGGGTCTGTCAGGGGTCTCCCATCCCAGAGCCGAAGCACAGGTTCACCCGGCCGTCCAGAGCAGCACGCGCATGGCGTTTGAAGAAATCATCGGTTGCATTCTTTTGGTAGCGAACAACAATAAGAACCATAGCAACAACAGTAACAGCAGCAAGGGCAAGAACATGAACAGCAATGGATTGAAGGCACCTGCTGGAAAGTTTTTGTGGGGCAGGCATCCAGACAGTCAGACAGGCTCAGACATTTCTTTGCACACAGAAAGGCTCTTCTTGTTGCAGGCGCCTCTGTGTCTTAGTGCCTGAGTGTTTCCTGCCATCCGGTGCGTTAAAATTAACAATCGGCCTGCTCAGAAACGCCCTGATGCGAAGGCCTGCTCCAAAGCCCACAGAAACAGCACAGACTCTGCCGTGGATCATGAAATCGCGAGGTAGATGGCGGCTAAACCCTAAACCCTAAATGCAGAAACCCTAACCCGTGTGGTGCTGCAGCCCTCCCGCTCCCAGGCGTCTGGGAAAAAATGTGCTACCGGTACAGAAGCTGGGTCAGCAAAAGTGTTTAGGGTTTAGGGTCAGGGTTTTTTTGTAAGTCGCGACAGTCACTTGACTACAGATCATGCTTGTCGTGGCATGCCCAGTAG